CACCAGTCCCGTAGCCAATTGTTGACCTGCCAGATTTGAGTGGCCCTTTCAAACCCCTTCCCTTTGACTGGGAGAACTGATGAAAAACTGCCTGCACTCCAGAGTCCCTTACTGCCACTCCCAGAGCTCTCTAATCCTTCTGGATAGTCCACAGACTGCTCCTGGCTGTATCACTGGTGCCCCCATGAAACAACAGCAGAGGATAATAGTCAGTGGGCTGTGCAAGGCTCAGTGGTCTCTGGGTGACATCCTTGATATGAGCCCCCAGTAAGCAGCACACCTCTCTCGAGAGCGTGTCAGGTTGGCAGATGGGTGCCTCTGTCCCTCTCAGGAGAGAACCGCCTACTACTGTCACCTGTCGCCTTTTCTTAGTTGTGCTGGCTGTTATTTGGGGAGCAGACTGGGCTGCCTTGTTCAGCTCCAGCATCTCTCCTGATGTGATGGGTCTTTCCTCTCCGGTCTGCAGAGCGGTGAAGTGGTTCTGCAGGGGTACCTCAGGCTTTGGGGGAAGTCTCTTCCTCCTCCAGGTCCTTACCATTTCAGCCTTCCATTCTTCAGCATTATTGGCCCCCTCTCTCTTCTGTGTGTGCAACCCCCCTGCCCCCCAACCCCTCCAGCACTCAGGAGGTTGCAATGAATCACCACACAAGAGTCATTATGCTTGCCGTGCTAGGGCTGGCAGATCTCCTGCTCCTCAAGCTGGGACGAACACTTCTTCATACCCTCTCTTCTACAGTCCCCTAAACCTCATTCCTTTGCCAAGTCTTAGGGTGCCGTGTGTCTAGGTTCTTCTGTTCTGCTCTACTCAGGGTCTGTTTTCTCAGTATTTTCTCTGGGAAAAAACAGGGTTAAAATACAAAGGCATTTAAAATTAAAATGAAAACTTATAATAATAATAATAATAGTGCTCAGTACTTATCTCTCTCTTGCCATCTTCAAAGTGATTTACAAATGTTAACTAATTAATTAATCTTCACATCCTCTCTAACTGAAATTCAGAGTCACGGCTGAAGTAAGCAGGAAAATAAGAAGCGTGGTTTTCAGGTGAAGGGCAAAGGGAAACCTATGCTCCTGCCTACTGTTTGCCAGACGGCAAGGCAATTTGCAGTTATATTTTCATTCTGCACTGCACACCTCTCATTTATTTTTCAGTCACTCCAAAGGTCTGAAGTAATTTTATGTGCTACCTTCTGCTTCCTTTTTCTTAATGGAGGTCTTAAAAGGTGTTCCCTTTGAAAAGTAAGCAAAACAGAAGACAAAATAGAGCTGTGCAGATGCCCCTTGATCAAATATGCTTAATCCCAAACTCTTCTGAAATTCACAACACAACCAGCCTTGAGAGGGGCAAATAAAATGGGAAGGAGGAGCAAGGCCTATGGCTGCACTTGGCAAATGCCACTACCAGAGAGCTGAGCTGAGCCTGGGAGAGGGGAGGGCAGAAAACGAAGTTATGGCAGAAGGCTGCAGGCAGACTTACGCCAGCTGTTATTCCGCCATGAGGATCTGAGCCCGGGGCTTCAGCACAGCCTAGGACTGGTGTGGCAAGCCCCCTCCCGCCCCAGACCCCAAGTTGGCCCACATGCTGGTTGCTGTCACCAGTGCAATGGGGTTTGTGCTCAGAAGACTGACGCCAGCACGTGTATGGAGCTCGGGCACTGCTCCGCCCTGCCATGTGTCGCGTGCTGTGCAGGGCGCTCACACAAGCGTATCCCGCGCGACCGGCGTGGAGCTCTCAGTGCTGGCTCAGGGATGCTACCAACTCCACTCCTGGGATCTGCAGCCTGGATTCAAACTGTGGATTCAGGACGTTTAAAAAGACCCTTTGTGCCTAATCGCCAAGTGCAGCTAAAGAGAGCAAAGCCCAACAGGTCAGAGGGGAGCCGAGACACTTGAGATAAAGAGGTGTTACAGCTGCGTTTCCTAAGCCGCAGCAGGGCTCTTGTAGGCAACAAGTATCATCCTCCATGGTTGGCAACCAGCTCTCCCTGAAGGTGCCACTGCTCCAGCCCTGTTACAGCCACCATCCCAGTCCAGCTCCCGCTGGATCTCAGCCGGCTGTTAGGAGTGCTTTGTCAGGCTGCTCAGCTCCATCCTGAGCCTGTTCTCCTCACTCCTTTCCTTCACAGCCCAAAGGCTTTGCAAGCAGCTCCTATTTCAAAGGCCACAGGGTGTGAGACACATTTGGCAGGTGCTCAGGTATCACCTCCCCTGTTGGCACCCCGGTCCCAGACTAGGTCTTCCCAGGGAGTGGGAGGATCTGATGTGCACGGCCATTACCGCTTCTTGCGGACCACCGCAAACCCAGCGAGCCTGGTGACTTTCCTCACTGAAAGACAGATGAGGGTGATGTGATGCAGAAGGAGGAAGACTCAAGGTAACCTAAACAAAAGCTGGAAGCATTGTCGCAACCCCTCCCTGCAACTTACGCAAAACAGGCCTAGTCAAGTAGGCTCCCTGTTGCCGCAGGTTAGTCAGACCTCTCTAGGTGGGCTGAGACAACCCCAGCTCAGCTGCCCTCTTATGCACTCCTGCAGCCAGATTTGCATCTCTCGTCTGGTGAACTTCATGCCAAAACTCTCCTACTTGGCACTTCCGTGCCAGACGACTACAGCTAAGGGGCTTGATACCACGGGGGACAGAATGGGGGAAAGGTGTGGGGCTGCCCTAGCTCTCGGAGACCTCAGCCAGTGACAGCAGTGACCCTGGGACAGCTTGGCATATCCCTGGCCCTGGCTCAGCTGGCTAGTATGCCCTGCCCTGTGACCTTACACCCAGGGAAGGAAGCTGCTTTATTTTGAGTTCGGGGGCTCAGGTGACAAGGGTTCCCCACTGCTGTATTACAGCAGTCCAGAACTAGTAAACCAGCAACGCCGCACAAACCAGCATTGAGATGGCATCACATCTTGCTATCGCTAAACCAAACAGGGTGTCACAGCCCGCCTCCCCACCCCCGTAACAAGGCTTGCTCCCACCTACGCTGCCTCAGCTCCAGCTCTGCACAGGGAGCTGACCTAGAATAAAACTCGCCTAGCCCAGTGAATTGAAGCTAGGGCTTTCCCTGGTTGGATTAATTTTTTGATGGTTTGCTCACGCACAGAAACCCAGGTTCAAGGAATCAAATTGTAGCACTGGCACAAGGGAAGAGACAGAACCAAGCGGCGGCGGGAGTCACAGTGCCAATTTACTTTCACATTAGTACAGGCTATCGTGGAACAGCAGTGTGACACTCGCAGCCATCTGACTCAGTTTCAAGCCAGTCTTAAAGATGCATCCTCTGAAGAATCTGACGGGGGTTTCTGGGCATCTCACAGGAGTCAATGTCATTAAATTTGATTTTATTTTTCAACCAGACTCCAACATCACCCACAAATGGCTGAAGAAGCATCTGTACTATGAGAACTCATCCCTTGACTCTATCACCTTCAACTCCTGTCAGCTAAGTCCTCACATCACTTTCCCTTTTGTCTGGGACCATGGGGCACGTAGTTGACACAAATACGAACTTTTTCCTCAGTTTCTGCACCTTCCTCTGAGACTACGTGAAAAGCAACTCTTCTGAATGTTCTAGATGCAAATTAATCACACAAGAAACT